TTTGACGGAGTGCGTCCTGGAACTCACATATAGAGTGGGTATTCCATCCGTGCATAGGTAGAAGTGTTCACATGATTCAGGGTCAGGGAAATATCCATCAGGTTCAGGACATTGGAATCCCCCGCTGTTAGTTGTGGCTTCCGTCGACGAAATCGTGGTATCCGTCGACGAGGTCGTGGTATCCGGCGACGAAGTCGTGGTATCCGTCGACGAGGTCGTAGTATCCGTCGATGAGGTTGTTGTATCTGTCGACGAAGTAGTGGTATCTGGAGACGGAGTTGTGATTTCCGTCGACGTAGGGGGTTGTTTTGCTAAATGAAAAGGCAAATTACATGGAAATGAAATACGTTCATGAGGTCCAAGGATCATTAATATCAAAAATATACGAAAAATGAATTTAAGTAAATTACTAAATACGTAAATGTCGTTTCAATGCTGAAAAGACTACTGTACAATTTGACACTCTCATGCATGAATTTATGAAATCACAACAAAAAGATGTTCTCCTTCAACTCTGGTCTAAAAAATTATCTCTGCCGTAGTAGTTGCATTACTTCGGATACTAAATATTGAAACTGAAAATGGCAGCGGGAATAGACAGCATGCACCACAAGTTTCGAGGCATGTGTATTGTGGCTAAAAAGTAAAAAAAAAAAACCTTGGCCATCCAAAACAGGCGGCAAGATGCGCGAGAAGGTTGTGAGAGTGCCTGATACCTCTTAAAAAATTAGATCAAGGAAAGACATGAAACTTTATGAACTGACATGTTGTAGGTCTTGGTAGGAGATCCCCACAGTCCACATCATCCGGGTGCATGCAATACAGTTCTTCTTGACTGAAAAGGTCCTCATTCGGACACTCATGTGGGAAAGCAACAAAATCTATGCAGTGGTAGAACATGTAACAAAACGTCTCGTGGGGATAGACACCATCGGATGTTGGACATTGAAAGCCTTCTCCACCAGTCGTTGAACTGCCGCTTCCCGGCGTGGTTGATTGAGTTTCTTCAGCTGCAAAAACGAAAACGTGGATGACGCACCATTTACAATTCATG